GTTCTAGATAACCTCGTTATAGGCTGTTATTCGTAAATTAAGCACTTTTGAAAACCCAGCGTAAGATCTACTTGTATGAAAATTATCTATTCTTCCGCCATATGTAAAAAAAAAAACCTTGTCATTGGCTTCATCACTTTATTCATGCGCTATCCAAGTAAAATCATTGAATTGTTAGAAATAATTGTTAAAACTTGTTCATTCTTACACTTATGTGCATTAAAAAAAAAGTACAAGAAGTAATTTCAGAATTCGCAAATATTAACCTAACATTTTAAATTCAACAATACGAAATGGAACTACTTTCACCCCTTTGTTATAAGCTATTCACGAAAAAGTGAGCACTGTAAGCCACCTAACTTGGAATTATATTAAATAAAAATATGTTATTTCAGTATTAGACGATATTTCCGAGTGCGGTGGAATCTACATACTGTGTTTATTATTTACATGGCAATTTTTGTTTTAAATAGGAGGTCGAATGATAAAAACTTTCTGAAAGGAAAATAATTAGGGTCTCAAAAGTGCTCACTTTAGCGTGAACAGCCTATACAAATTTTACTGGGCACATGCCAGTCGTTGTGGCCGTTAAAATATATACCGGATGTTCCATATTTTGCGGGGAGATAGTATGCACTAAAACATGAGAAAGAAATGTCTAATATACATGGGTCCGGAAACACATACCGTGCGAGCTATGAGCACTTGCTGACCATAGCTATTGGCGAAAACCCATACCGCACGAGCTATGGGCACTTGCTGACCATAGCTACTGGCGAAAACCCATACCGCACGAGCTATGGGCACTTGCTGACCATAGCTACTTGCGAAAACTCATACCGCACGAGCTATGAGCAGTTGCTGACCATAGCTACTGGCAAAAACCCATACCGTACTAGCTATGGGCACTTGCTGACCATAGCTACTGGCGAAAACCCATACCGCACGAGCTATGAGCACTTGCTGACCATAGCTACTGGCAAAAACCCATACCGTACTAGCTATGGGCACTTGCTGACCATAGCTACTGGCGAAAACCCATACCGCACGAGCTATGAGCACTTGCTGACCATTGCTACTGGCGAAAAAGTGCTCATAGCTTGTACGGTATGTGTTTCCGGACGCATGTTTGTCAGACATTTCTTCCTTGTTTTGCTCCAAACTACCTCCCCGCCAAATATGGAATTTTTTTTTTCAACGGGGGCCGCGGTGGCTGAGCGATTAGCATGCTCGCCTCCCACCAAGGTGAACCGGGCTCAATTCCCGGCCGGGTTACCAAATCTTCGCAAGTGGGAATCGTGCTGGACGATGCCATTGGTCGGCGGGTTTTATCGGGGATCTCCTGTTTCCCCCGCCCCCTCATCCCGGCGCCGCTCCATACTCAATTTAATCACCCTCATCGGCTCTCCATACCTCGCTGTTAAGAGACGTCCGAATCTCTTCATTTCACTTTTTTTTAACATCCGGTGTATGCATTTTAAGACAGTGACGTTTTTCAAATTTTGATTTCAAAAGAGCTTAATTGACTTTGAACATGGTATATTTCCTCGTTCCTTGTTCCAAGTAATTCTTGGCGCGGCGTTCTCTGGGAGGAGAATCACAGCTGTATACAGAATGTTCCTAAATTAGAACTGCAAAATTCCCCTACAGGACAAATACGGAAAAAACACGACTTATGGTCCAAAATTAATCCCAAGGGCGATACACACCTTTGAGTTTGGACCTGAAACACTAGTTTACTACAAACTAGCGACCCGCCCCAGCATCGCTCGGGTGTGATTTACACATATAGAGCCGGCCGCGGTGAGCAATGTGACGTCATAGTTTTTTCCTCATCAGCTCGCTTGACCGCTGTAATTATTTTGTTACGCATTATTAATAAATCTGTGTTAGCTCTTAAAACGACATGGTGTAACTAACGTACTTAATTTGATAAAGATTAATGCTGTGTTGTTCAAAACGTTATTTTTATAATCAAAATTTAAAAGACAGAATTGTTACTGTAGGTTATCCTTAAAAGATAAACATATGCTGACCTGGACTTTTTTGTAGACCTTTTTGAGATCTGCAATTCTTTAGTACTTTAATTTGGCGTATCTCTTATGGTTAAGTCAGCGGAAGAAATGAAAGCACCCTAAAAGCGGCTTTTTTTCCAACTTGATTACAAAACATCGACATTTCTCTACGATACTTACATTTAATATGAATGTGTTATATACATGTACCTTCCTTAAGAAATTTTCTAAATTATGGTGAAAACCGCATCAAAATCGATCGAGTAGTTTAGAAGCCTCAGCCGAATACACACACGCGCGCGCGGCTGGGCGACTTTATTTTATACTATTTATAGAATATATATATATATATATATATAGATTTATATATTTAAATAAGAAAATTGCTGGTAAGAAATTTAACATCCTTTACATAAATTTTATTTTAGTGAAAGAGGCAGAAAAATTTATGCCACGCATAATAAATATTTGATTTACAAACTTCGTAATTTACAGACCTAACTTTCATGCCTTTCCCTCACGAATTTAATCGTTATTGTCATAATATTCATTATTTTATTGATTGAAACATTTTACAAGTATTAATGTGTTCAACCTTTTATTTTAATGATACTGGGGAAAATCGATCAATTTTCTTCCCCACACATTTAGCTCTGCTTGGTAATAACGTTATTCATTTATAGCTACTGAAATAGCATTACTACTCAACATTGTTCGGGTATAAGAGGGAAATGAGAAATACACGACCACGTGTTACGAGTTTCCGCTCCAATGGAGGACAAGAGCCAAATTCGGCCTACACATTATTTGGCGTTACTTACTGAAGAGTATCCTGTAAAATTTGGTCAAAACCCGTCGAACGGTGTAAAACTAAGCCATACGACCTCTTTTGAAGAGTTTTGAGGGTTTTGGACTGAACGAGGAGGGGGGGGGGGATTCTGACCTACGCACTGTATTGAGTCGGGTACTGAAGGGTATTCCCGGCTAGTTTTGCACAGATACGCAAAACATTGAAGAATTGTATAGAGGACAAACATACTTACATACCTACCTACCTTACAAGCTTAACAATATATACATATTATTTATACTTATTTATTTTATTGTATCTTCCTATTTATTTTAATGTCTTTATTATTTTGTGTTAAACTTTTATGTTAAAGTGAAGATGGATCCAGTGATAAGCTTGAACTCGATAAAACATACAAAAGCAAAAGAAATTGTAACTTGTTTATAGAAATTATGGTAATAAAATCTTCTGTGTTCTAGACCATCGATATAAATTTATTTCACCTGATAGATATAGGGATTAGTAGCAATTGAAAAGGGTTAATAAATGCGTGATATTAAATTTTCTTTTTTCTTATCACTTTTTTCGACTATTAGAGTGGCGTACATATTTTTACTTCGCCTGTATTATTTTCAAATAAAGAGTTCGAGTAGTATATATAATGCAAATTTTGGATATGAATTTTTGCCCTCGTATATTGTTTAATAAAATGGGTTTGAGATTAAAGTACTGCAGAGCAAAGAAATATTGAAAGAGATGTTTTATGTATTTTAATTGAAGAATCGTGATTTTCTTAGTAGGACTATGTTTGACTCTGATAAACCTGCTAAAGAACCAGCATTTTGATAATCTACTTTTTACAATGGTTCAAAATAAAACTATTTGCTATCGCAGGATCAGGGAGTGTGCACACACATGTCCTGCAATTTTTCCTCTTAAAATAAATGCAAACTCTATCCCGATGTAAAGGTCATCTATAGGCTGTTCACGGTAAAGTAACCACTTTTAAAGGCCCTTTTTTCCTTTCATCCGATTTCCATTTTCCTGCTGCTTATTAATATAAACATTGCTTTGTGACGAATAAACACATTGTATACATTTCATCGCCCTCAAAATGTAATGCGTGATTCTGCAATAAGATATATTTATTAGTGGTTAAGGCCTGTTGGGAGGGCCTTAAAAAGTCGTCATTTTACCGTGAACAGCCTATATGCTAATGAGCTTCCCACGCATAGTGTTGCGGGCACGGGACTCGAACCCGCACACCTGATGACGGAGCGGCGTCCTGGCGCACTTGGGGGGAGGGGAGCTAGGGAGCAGCAATGGTCGTAGTAGGTGTCCCTGTATGTCGGCCAGTCGCAAGGTATATAATGCCGCTGGGACCTGGCGACGCCCCCACTCTTTGACCTACTCTGCTGGTGGCGCCACTACTCGAGGGCGACACTGGACGCCGCATGTCAGCGCGAGCTACTCGAGGGCAACACTGCAGGACGAGCCGAGATACTGACGACGTCTTGGAGAGACGTGACTAGATCGGCCAATCACAACACGACAACACATCACGAGGTGGAGGAACTCCGGCTGGTCTCGAAAATTTCCAGTGGTAAGGAGATATTCGGTTCCGGGTGCAGGATAGATTCAGAAACGATCTTACGCAAAGCGAACCCCAGAGATCCCCTATTAAGAGCCTTAATGTTTGTTAACGTAATTGTAGCTTACGAGTCAAGTTTTATTTACTATTAGTTGTTGAGATATTTTAAATCTAGTATTCATTCAGTTTGTTTGATAATGTATTTGAGATCATCTACTGTATGAGAAGGAGTAATAAAATAATTAGTAGTTTTTGTAATTAACTTGTGTCATTGAACCATCTTGAGTTATACCCACCGAGTGCAGTAACGTTGAGGACTATCCTTGGCATCTTGTGTTTTGTATAACCTTGTGTTTTAATACTATAACGTTACAATTGTTATCTAAGTAATGATGCCGTTTGATATGAACAATTTTGCGCAAACATTAAACCCGAGGCGAAACATGTGCTATGTGTCTTCGACTGGTTTCTATTGCGACAGTCCCACGATTGATGAAACAGATAAAATTGAACATGACGTATGCGATTTCGAGCTGAGAGAGATATTTTAGTTTAAGTCATAAAATACTTACAAAGCTCAGGTCTTGTATGTACCAAGATGTCATTCCCCAGGCGAGACTCGAACTCACAACTCCGGCATTGCTCGGACACTGTCTTACAAGCACCGTGCGCTTACATATTGCGCCACTGGGAATCTAGTCAATCGTTCCACATAAACGATTAGTTTACTTGTCACGTTTTAACGGGCTTTCCCAAACCAGGTGGTATTATACGTTAAAGTTTGTTCACAGTAAAGTGAACACTTTAGAACTAAACCTTTGGAAAATGAATTTATGTCCGTAATTACATACGTGCGACGGCACACGCTGTCTTGGGAGATCTCTGTTAAGTTGGTAGTAAATGACGAAAAATAGTCTCAGATTTTGACGTTGTAACCAGAGTATGAACGTTTGATTGTAGTCTGGGTTTCTCATTTTATACTAACGAGAGCAGGAATTTTGATATCAATAACACATTTACGTTCCTAAAGAAGTCCACGGTTCCGCATGAATGACGCACGTGTTAAGTGTCACGGTATGTGACAACGTTAATCTTACCTACGACAAAAATATACCAAATGAGGAGGAAATTATATCGCAATCATAGCGTCCGAAAGTGCGCAATCAAACGTGAACGTTCCACAGTACCTGAGTTGTTGGGTACGACAAAAATTGTTCCCTTATTCGAGTTAATTAGCACGCGTACCGATGAATGTACATCCTCATGTTTTATATATGGATGACTAGTGCACATCAAAAAAGTACAGGTTTAATACTTAGGCTCTGTCATTGACATTGGATAAATCACGGGCGAATTCTGTTCTCAAATCCCCGTGATACAAGCCTCGTATATCCTGTTCATGGTAAAGTGACCACTATTGAGGCCCTAGTTACTTTTTCCTTTCTGCCATTTTTGAATCTATAGTCACCTTCTAAAAATAAATACTGCCATGTAAGTGATAAACACAGTGTGCATATTCCACTACACTCGGAAATTAACATCTAAGGCTAAAATAAAATAAATTTATTGGCTATTATTTCAAATGAGAAGGCTGTCAAAAGTGCTCACTTTCCCGTGAATAGCCTATAAGCATTACGTTTCAATTCTCGTACATTTCCGACTTATTTTGTTCGTTCCCCATTCAGGATTCACCCAGAAGTGTGTCCCCGTTGTTGTATATTATATATACATATATGTAACTATAAACACATATTTGTATAAATATGAATATTATTCATACTTATATATGTTACAAATTATAAAACATGTATAGTATTAACATGTTCGTAATATATGAATATGTTAATATATTTATATTATATGCATAAATATATACTTATATATTTGTACATATTGTGATTATATATTTTATATAATAAATTTAATGTACATACATGTACACACACATGTACATAGTGTAACACTGCAGTAATGAAAGAGTGTGTGTCAAGAAGCAGGGTAAAAGAAGTCGCTAGGTACTGCGACAAACCCCACCATCACCCGCTCCGAACATCTTTGTCAGGAGCCTTGGGAGATACCCTACAGGTATCACCCCTCCATTGCGCGCCGAGGCGATATCTATTGAATATTCGTGGATACGTGGGGGGTAGGGTGCGCCGGAAACTAGGTTTAGGGGATGCGAATGAAGAGGGTGAGTCTAGGGAATGGGGGGAGGGAGGTCGGCTGCATCTCTCGCCGCCGGGGTAGCCCGAGTATATTGTTAACCCTCTTTACCCCTCCCAACCACCCCGTCATCCCCTGCATCCCACGGGTATCCCGCCCTGTTGTGGCACGCTTCAGCAGCGAAGGCGAGTAAAGGGGTTAGAGGTGAGGGGTTGGAGGCCATCTTGTTAGCGCCACCGGGGCGTCGCGACGCCTGCTACAGTTGGACGCCGGGACATCACGGACTGCTCAGCGCAGGGCGCGGCGGAGAAATACTGTTTTTTTTACAACGGGACTTCCACACACAAAGCTGTGCACAGACTTTCGTTTGTTTATTTTTTCTTTCTTTTATTCATCGCTGTGTTCTTGTTGATACGCCGGTTTCTCTAGTTCGCAGTTCGCGGAGTCCTTTAAAATAGGAAGCTCTTCGACATGTCCTGCTGGTCACTCAATACAATTTAATGCAAGTACCGGCTTTTGTACTTTCGCACTAACAGAACAGCCAAAAAGATACTTGTTTGTATTGGGCCAAAACTATATTAAGTTACCCCAACAAAATATTTTGTTAAGCAAACAAAACTTGAAAACCAAAAATAAATAAATAAAAATCATTTTGTACGATGAACAAATCCTCTGTGTTTGGCCAAGAGAAATTTGACAACAAAATATTTTGTTTAATGAACTGTATATATTCGTTTGCCCACTCATTCGGTTGCCTTCGTTCAAAAATACAGCTCCAGAGTTTGTTTGCATTTTTTGTGACAATTAGGGGAGTTAAAATTGTTTGTTAGTGCATTTATTATTGCTTAATAAATCAACTTAAAAAAACGTTTTGAACCAAGCTTTTATTTATAATTGAACTAAATAGATAAAATTAATTATTGGAATAGTTAAAAAAAATTTGTAAAACTGGCGAGACGTGGTCGAACAACCGTAATAAACTTAACTACAAATTAATCAAATTAATATTTTGTATCAATTTATATTTTGTATATAAAAGCTTCGCGCAACATAGAACGTATACTTAGATTGCGTTAGCGTAGTAAGCTCATAAACTGCCTAGTAGCAATGTATTCGCGCCAAGTTTAACTATTCCTATAATTAACTTTATCTTTTTTGTTCATTTGTAAATAAAAACTTGGTTTTAAAAGGTTTTTCAGAGTTAATTTATTTTTCACATTCTAGCCTCACCAATTTTGTATTTTATTTTATAGGTAGACTATTTATACATTCACAGATTTGTCCGTCATTGGTATCGCTTGCGATCAAGCGAGTTTCAGTGCATCCTTTTAGCGGGAAGTTGAACCGGCATGCTGAATATTCATTATTCATCTTACACGTGTGTGTATGTCGGTGTTATGTGACATTTCAGCACGAGCTCACGCAGATCGTACTCTTCAAACGGCATTTCACATACACACATGCTGTCGATCATTTGAATTCCTTCATGTGTTTCAAAGTTTGGATGTTTTTTTTTTTTTTTTTACCCACACAACCATGTGTAAATGAGGACTTCCCCGGCACTGAAACTCTACAAGCCACCGGTAATCGACAACTTGTCCACCAAAAACATCGTGATTTGCTAGTGAATCTGTGGGCGCCGAACAGACACCTACAGTGCATGCAAACAAGTGAAGTTAAATAAAAGCTTGTAAAAGTGGCATAAACACCCTGATATAATAAGTTCAACATTGTGTTGTGACGGTGCTGAAACACTGTACGTCATATTTAATTATTCTGCACTGCAAATTGCACGTCTTACGTGGGATTATCGACGAGGCAGCTGAGGTTTACCTAGTGGATGACTAGAATGTCATCACCAGCGAGGACGTCTTATGGCCGGTTGCACCTACATCTTACACGATCCGAGATCGAATGATCCTAGTTACAACCCAGGATCCCGTTTGATCTTGGTTACAATGTAAAACTGTTGCACCAACGAAATTTCATGATTCTGGATCTCCGATTCGTCTCTCTTGGTTCAAAAGTGAGAGATCGAGATTCAGTATGAGAAAAATTTTGCCTTCGGTTCGTAATATATGACGTCATGGAAATAGGCGAATTTTTCGCTATGGATAAAGCTAGATGTGCGACGTTTTATCTGTTTTAAGTGAATTATTGTTGTACGAATTTTACTGAATAATATTCAAGTGCGTATAATGTTGTTTTAATTTCCCAAGAAAACCATCGAACGTAGTTCTATCTGTTGGAGTATTTTCAAACTGCGTTTGTCGACGATGGCTGATGATGTCGGATCGAGATTTCGAACCGCCAATTTCGCCGGTTCGAAATGAACTTCATCTCGATCTCCAGTCCAGCTCTGAACTCGAATGGTGTAACAGTTTTCTGTGTCGATCTTAGATGCAACCTAGGATCGAATTTCGAACCACGACGGTGCAACCGGGCATTATTCGACGTGGGTGAGTGGCTTGGCAGGCGAGCGAGCGAAGACTGAAGGTGCGAGACTCGAGGCTGACTTTGCCTCCCCCCCCCCCCCCTCTTGCGGACCTTCACAGCCCACCGATACCAACCCTCCTTCCAACGTGTATTACGGGCTTCTAACTACCGTCTGATGCTGCGATGTACATCAACAAGATTTGAATTTACTGGACTTAAAACACCTCGAAAACCATCTGGGACGTTCAACACTCGTCAACGTATATTTTGGACTATATAAGGGGTTGTATTTCGTTTTGGGGAGATAGAAAATATGGGGACCATAGTATGATAAGATATTAACTTGGCAGATGGCGTATGCTGCCAATATTTTATAAGGACGTTGTTTTATTGGGCATTTATAGCGAAAATATTTTAAGATAAGGGTGTTTTATAATCAGTAAAATTCTGAAATCATACATTATTTGGGGTAAGTTTGTTATGCTTGGCGATCCCAAATATTTCAATGTAAAGTCTTTTTAAATATTTTTTTTTGCTCTTTGTTACCTTTTACTATCCTTTTTGTATATTGGGCATTTTATATTAAAAATAAAAGAGGAAAGGGATAAGCCCAAATATAAAGGAAATAAAATGAACTGTCTGTTGATAATTTCTCACAATTTTGGAGATAAATATTTTATTTTTTCGCAATATTTTGCGACTGCCTTATTTATTTGTACTCTGAAATTGAAACTCTGCTAGTTAAAACTTGTATACCTTCTGCTGTGTCCATGAGTATAACAGAAAGTAGCAGAAATTGGGCATCGTGTAAGACCGGCTTAAACGACTCACGCGCCTCACGCAAAATTTAGGCTCCAGAAACTTCTTAAATAATTATTAAATATCGGAAGAAAAACAGTTTTGCAAATATGATACACTACATACATCTAGTATTATACTAACATATTACAATTAACATTGTCAAGTGGTAGGGGAATGCTAGTAAAAAGGAGAAAGTATCCACGATAAACGAATCGAATCTACACATGCTGTATGAATTAACACTCCTTATTAAGAAGATGATCGTACATTTTATAAAAAATATTTCATTAGTAT